ATATATATATATATAATATTGTGTGTGTGTGTATGTATGTATGTATGTATGTATATATATATTCTTTTGTGGGGAATGTGGTGTTTATAATTCCATAAGCATTGAACACAAGGGGGTCTGTTTATCAATGTTTTTACTCAAGATTCACACAACTTTTACCCAAGATTCAAACATGATATTAAAATAGCAAAATGTGTGATTATTGGGTGAACATTGTGTCACTCTTTAGTGGAGAACTGCTTATAATGATGGTATACAAACCCCTTTTCAAAGAGATTGTAAACATTGTGTCACTCTTGGATGAAGACATCGATAATATCGTCAAGCGCATAGAAGGCTACATTCACACCTACATAGTAGGTGTGTTTTGGTATTCCTGCTTCAGGAACCTACAAATTGCATCAGGAATCTTAAATATGCTGTTAAGAAGCAGCAGCTGTCACCCATTCAAATTATTCATCGAATGACAATCGCCGTGTTTGAAAGCGGCAGTCCCTTGGCACTCCGCATGTAATCATGTGATACGATAACCTTGGACTAGGGGTGTACCGATACTAGTATACAAATACTCCTGATGCTTATGCCCATACCGGAACTTCCGTTATAAGGAAGACGGGAGGCCAGTCATTACCAGGAAGCCGGTTCCATGCTCCCTCGTCACCAGGTAGCATGGGGCTAGCTTCCAGACCAATTGGGAAGATGATGGGTGGGTAATGACTCGCCACCCGGCTTCCTGATTGCTCAGGAAGCTGGCCAATCAAGAAGCAGGGTGACAAGTCATTACACGCCACCCAGCTCCCTTAATGGGACTGCCGATATCGGTATTTGGTATCCTTACCATCTTGTCTTGAATTGTATTGTGATTGTAATGTCTTCCTTATATTGTAAAGCGCAAGCTGGCGCTATATAAATCTTGTTAATAATAATAATAATATTTGGAGAGTACCGAAAAAAAAAATATATCGGTACTTGATACTGAAAAAACTGTATCGGTGCATCCCTATTCTGGACGCACGCTTAATCCCTGTTGGGTGCCTGTAGACACGAGAAGACGGGCCCTGATCCAGATAATTTCAGCATACATTATCTGGGTACCTTCAAATTGTCCTAACTGACAAACCTCAGGGAAGAAAGCAGTGGGAGCATTTTTAGAGAACCTTGTCTAATCATGTTGTTTTCTACCCCTTGACAACCCACCACCACGTCTGTACATCTTTTAAATGTAATTTGTTCTTCTGTCTCATTTACTCATACTATAATTGTTTTTTCTTTTTTAACCAGACTTCTTCAGTGAGCGAACGCGAGTGCTACTACAATGAAACCATAGCATTTTTCTATAACCGGAGTGGAAAACCTCTAGCCACAGAATGGCATACTGTCAACAAGCTGGTGATGGGACTTGGTATCACTGTATGTATATTCATCATGTTAGCCAACTTACTGGTTATGGTGGCTATTTACGTCAACCGCAGATTTCACTTTCCTATTTATTACCTAATGGCAAACTTGGCTGCTGCAGACTTTTTTGCAGGACTAGCTTACTTTTACTTAATGTTTAACACGGGTCCTAACACTAGAAGATTAACTGTGAGCACTTGGCTGCTTCGGCAGGGTCTGATCGACACCAGCTTGACAGCTTCTGTAGCCAATTTGTTGGCAATTGCCATAGAAAGACACATTACAGTATTCAGAATGCAGCTGCACACCCGGATGAGCAACAGAAGAGTTGTCGTCGTCATAGTAGTCATCTGGACAATGGCTATTGTGATGGGCGCGATACCAAGCATTGGATGGAATTGTATCTGTGACCTTGAGCACTGTTCCAACATGGCTCCACTCTACAGCGATTCCTACTTGATGTTCTGGGCCATTTTCAACTTGGTTACATTTGTGGTGATGGTGGTTCTGTATGCACATATATTTGTGTACGTTCGCCAGAGGACTATGAGAATGTCAAGGCACAGTTCTGGGCCTAGGAGAAACCGTGACACAATGATGAGTCTTTTGAAAACTGTTGTCATTGTATTAGGTGAGTACTTTTACCCTTTTTACATTGCAATAGTAACATTTTCTAAGAAAAAAACATGTTTATTGAAATCAGTGATGGTCTGCTGTGTGGAATAATCTTTTGTATAAAATCATGCCTTTACTGATCTATCTATGGCTCAAAAGCAAAGTATTTTTCATATTTGTTAGTAGATGTAAAAGTACTTAGCGTAAAAAGAGCTGCTGATGGGTATAATGCTCTAGTACTTACAGGTGCCAGGCCATACCTCCAGCAGCTTAAATGCCGGTTCTTCTGTTCGGGCAAAGCTCAGACACTTCCTGGAAATGGTGGCGCTTGCCTGTTTCCTCCCATTTAAACCTATTGGCCCAATGGGTGCTGAAAGCTAAGTATTTATTATTATTATACAGGATTTATATAGCACCAACAGTTTGCGCAGCGCTTTACAATTGAAGGAAGGCATTACAATCGCAATACAATTCAAGACAAGATGGTAAGGAGGGCCTAAAATCTAAAAGGGAGGGGGGAAGTGATACATGAGGAGGTAGCTGTGTGGGGATGAATTGTTTGAGGACATGATGGTTGAGTGGTTAGTTTGAGGTGGTATAGACTTCCCTGAAGAGATGAGTCTTAAGGGATCGCCTAAAGGCAGTGACATATTTGTCAGAGTATGTATAACCATATATAGGTGTTACTGTTTTACAAACCTTATTTCTTTGCATAGAATTATAAGCTACAGTATGTGTACATGGGGTCAACCATATTTACTCATTTTTGTGCAGTTTCTGCTTCCTGCTTGGTAGTTAGTCTCTTGGCTGGGGTTTTATCACTATGACTATTTCAGACAGGACCTGTCTAAATCAAAGCAAGAGACTTTCTCTAACTACTTGAAATGTCAACAATGCTCCAGGAAATCTAAGACCATGGGATTTTTTTTTGTCTTGGGTAAGGTCACATGAGGGAGTGCAGGAGCAGTGTGCATTTTTTTTTCATGGCATCAAAGGCTTTTCTTTTTTACAATCATATGTGCTATATTAATATATTGGAAATGTGAACTTTAATCATACTTTTACCGTAACCCTTAAATTGCCAATGAACTGTCACATATACTGTATAATGTCACTAGCCAGTGTTAACCAATAATGTACAAGTTAATTGATGACAATCAAAACAATCTCGGAGCTTGCATGCAGTAGCGGCCATGAGCTGCTTTTAAATATAATACCCAGCCTGCATACTATTTGTAAAAGTGATTTGGCACCCCATTTGCAAACACAGTCCATACAAGGAGCCTGAGGCTGAACTCGTGTCCTGATCTGGACCTTCTCTTGCACTTCACGCTGACTGCAGATATGATGCAGATATGCTTACTGATCAGTTCAGGAGGCCAGTCAAAGAGCACTATCATGCTCAAAAATGCAACCATGGATTTCAGGATGCACAACAAAGGAGACTCGCAATTTCTGTCTACTGCTGCAGTTTATGAACCAAATAAAGCGCTCACTGCAACTATGTTCCCAAATGTCCCTCTTTTCAGATCAAATTTTTTTGTCCTTCAGTTCTCAAATTTGTGTAATTTGTAGTTAATTTATTCACATATTGGGTAATTGGATACCTATTAATGCAGATGGGCTAGAAAATCCATAGCCAGTGTGTTGGTCTCTGCACAATCTGGAAGTTCAGGTCAGGCCACATCTGGAAAAAGTCTGGTTATCTGAAGCCAAATCAAGTTCATTGGTTGTAACTTATCATGTAATTGAACCTTACACACTCAGATCAAGCATGGAAAGTGGTATAGAATCCTAGATAAATAATTTTGTGGCTTTAAGTTCATTATATTAATATTTACAGGGGATGTGTTAGGATATATATAAAGATGACAGGCTAACTTTTTTTAAGGGTGTATGCTCTGTCACCCTTAGCCTTTATTAACCACTTGAGCTCTCGCACCTGTATACCCTTGAGCTAGAGAAATGTTTTTCTAGAATATTTACTAAATTTAGATATTGGCCAATTAAAAAATGGTAAAGTATGCCCAAGGCCAAAACCTTTTTTCTTTTGTCTGAAGTAGGTAATGCTTAAAACCCCTGTTCGTGATAGGATATATATATATATATAATCTCCTATTGGGCATACTCTTCTGACTTCGTGTCCAATAGACATAACAGGAGGTAAGTGAAAATCACTCCAAAATGAGGGGAAATCCCCACTTAGACAGCTGTACCAGAACGAATGCCCCCATTGAAAGATATATTGTTTTTGTTACCTTTTATTCCTGTTGTGGAGACAGCTTACAATTTTGGAATTTCTCTGTGATTTCAGTGGTTACAGCATGTGCACCAGCTATGAACATACACACACACACACACACACTAAAGCTGGAGGGTTACTGCATACAAAAGACACATGTTCTTCTCCGTTGCTTTGTAAAAATGAGAGCTGATTCTTAAAGGAGAACTATGGGGTCAGGGCTTTTCCCCATAGTTCTCCTTAGGGTAATGGGAGGACACAAACTAGCGTCCTCCCGTTACCCTAAGCTCAGTATACCGTGAGCTACAGCTCGCGGTATACTGAGACGCAGGAGCGGATCCCGACATCGATGTCGAGATCCGCCCAGCTGCGCGAGTGACAGCTGGCTCTGCCTATCCAGCAGTGACAGCTGGCTCTGCAGCTGTACCCGCCCCCTCCCCGTCAGTTCCGCCAGTCAGCGCTGGTGGAACGGGGAGGGGGGAATCCAGCCCCTCCCCTGTCACGGCAGAGAGCCGTAACAGGATCGAGAAGTGTGCGAACCCGGTATGTGTTCGCTCACCTCCAGATCTACTGAGCCGACCTGTGACAGTCTCATTGTCACAGGTCGGCTAGAACTATGAGGTGAGTTAAAAGCACTCACCTCATAATTCTCTTAAGTTTAGAGGATTGCTTTCATTTCTCCACAATAAATTCTACAGTCAGTGTAGATATAGCATATATGGCTGTTTTTATTGATATTATCAGCATATAAATACTAATTGTTATGTAGAGCTATAAGGCTCCTGAATCATCACAGATGGCTACCTTCTTATTTTCTCCCACAATGCCTGTATTTAAAATCCTTAAGCTGTGATCCAATCTGTGTGGATTGGTATAAACCACTGAACTAATACTCAAGAAATCTTTGAGGAACTCTAGGGAAGCTATTTATATCTAGTCTTTCCCATTAATAAAATCCCCTTACAATTTCAAACACCAACCCACTCTCTCTTAGTAAACACTTTTCTTGTACTCTTAAGTATATGTAAAGCCAGTTATTAAAATTTCAAGCAAGCTTTAATAGTGGAATAACATTTTAAAAGTTGGTTTCAGTCTTCTTAAATCACAGCTTTTATTAAAACCAATACCAGGTGATCCTGCAATTAGCGTCCTAGTTCATGAGCTTTCTATCAATAGATGGCAATGCTCAGTTCCACATTGTACTCCTACATTGTCACACAAGCTTTACATGGAGACAACAAGTGGCTGTTTGACCACACATTACACAGGCATTGTTCTGGGCAACACAGTGGCTTAGTGGTTAGCACTTCTTCCTTGAGGCACTGGGGGCCTCAGTTTGAATCCTGGCCAGATTACTATCGTCATGGAGTTTACATGTTCTTCCTCCTACGTGTGTGAGTTTCCCCTGGGTAGTCCGATTTTTCCTCCCAAACTGCAAAGACATGCTTGTAGGTTAATTGGATCCTGTGTTCATGTCTTAGATTGGAAGTAAAGGCAGGGAGTGATGTGAATGTACAGTATGTAAAGTGCTATATAAATGCCTGCCATGAATAAATAAAAAAAATGTCACCATCAGAAAACTTGGCCTGAGAAATGCCATACAGCCATCGCTGGAGTGCATGCATGTAAAAAGCTAGTGACTGTAATGATGACATCGAGGGGTATTAGATTAAAACAAGGCAATTGTTTTTAATGCAATGTTTTAGCAAACTGTCATTTAGTCTAGGGTTTACTTCTACTTTAAAACTAGTTCCCACGTGTATGGTGTTAGCACTATTTTTTCTGAATTTAACATTTATTTGTGATGCATTCGGCAATCCTTCTTTTTTTTTTTTTTTTTTACAACTGTCAAACGCTTACCAAGTTAAACATAAAATCAGACAACCAACATGTTTCTAAAATCCCTACCAAATATCAAACCTACCAAAGATGGTCACAGGCAGAGCAAGGCTCCCACTAACCTCCACCAATAACACGTTTATTCTAGGGTTAGGTTGCCTGTTATTTACACATTGGCAGATCTTCCCGTTTAAAAGCGGACTAAAATTATTGCTAGTGTTCTATTTGGGGATCTAAACAGCCCTGCAGTTAGAAAGTATAGATGAGTTTTTATGTGGATAAAAGTTGTATATTCTTAAAGCTAACATTTTCTTTTCCAATGCTTGAGAAACCACTAGCAAATTTGAACAATTTATCTTATAAATGGCTCATCTGTGCATAAAGAGTGAACAAAATCTTGCTCAAGTCTATTCCCTGAGACCCTGTTATTTTTCTAATTGGTGCTGCCATTTTACCTATCACACAGTATAGAAAAGATGAATCCAGGCTGTAAGTCGCATCCTGCTCATCTAGGAAACATCTGGCCTTCCTGTAACAGTCATGTGTCACAGCTCTAGTAGGCATATGCCAACTGGATAGCGAAGAGTTGGGCATGAAAATTTAGTTACTGAATTGTTGCATTTTGCTGCATAAATGACAATGCTTTTTGACTATGAAGATCCCACTGTTTATTCCCATGCTTGGGGACTGGAAAAGGTCATGTGTAGCATTGACATATAAGTAAGCCATGCTTCCCTATTAATTTAACCGTGAAGATTACCAGACTGATGTAAAAGTAGCTGTACACTGCCCCAACCATGCAACAGTTTAGCTTTGATAACATAAGGAGTGTACCCGATGTCGACTGCACTTTAGCATATGCACCTTGAGACCCCATAAGCTTTAGTGGGTTCCCATCTACACTGTCAGTGCAGGCTGCATGCCTTCTCTGACCT